TGTCGACCAGCGTTCTCGAGGCCATGAGGTTGCCGCAGGAACCAGAGTGAATTTCGAAAAGTAGCTTCACTTCCTCTTCTTGGGTGATGCATTTTTGCAGTAACCCTTCCTTGGCACTTTTCCTCATCAAGTTGCCGTCCACCAGCACATAATGCTTGCTTCAACGGATTAGGCATTCAGTTTCGGTCTTATCGGCAAGTACTTCGGCGCTGGTGAGGTACTTGATGAACCGTTCCCTCCAATCGGTAGCCGGCGAAGGTACCGTAAGTACCAGCTGCTCGGTGGCAGGAACTTCTTGAACTTCCTTATCTTAATGGATGGCGCCAGAAGATCTTGAATGAAGACCCCTGGTGGAGTCGCGGCGCGAGAGGAGCCTAACTTGGATAGGTGGTCGGCGAGCTGATTTTGATCGCATACCACGTGGTGGTACTCGATACCGTAGAACTTCTCTTCAAGCTTCCTAATTTTGGTGCAGTATGCATCCATCTTCTCACTGGAGCAGGACCAGTCTTTATTGAGCTGGTTGATGACCAGCGTGGAGTCCCCATATACTATGATGCGTTTAACGCTGAGCTCAACGGCTATACGGAGTCCATGGAGACATGCTTCATATTCGGTGGCGTTGTTGGAGGCCAAAAAATGTATCCGAAGAACATATCGGAGCTTATCCTTGGTCGGCGTGATGAACAGAATGCCTGCACCAGCACTGTTGATGTTGAGAGCCCCATCAAAGTACATCACCTAGTGCTCAGGGCAGGTAGCGGCGATGGGCTCTTGAATCTCAGTCCACTCTGCGATGAAATCAGTAAGCGCCTAAGACTTGATGGGAGGCCTGCTTCTGAATTCGATGGAGTAAGTTCCGAGCTCGACAACCCACTTGATGATACGACCATTGGCCTCTTTGTTGTGGAGAGTGTCCCCTAGAGGGAACTCGATGACCACGGCGATCTTGTAATACTCAAAGTAGTGGCGGAGCTTGCGCGACATAATCAGGATAGCGTATAGCAGCTTCTGGACCTAAGGATAACGAGTCTTGGACTCATTGAGAACCTCGCTGATGAAGTATATTGGACATTGCAACTTATAGGCGTGCCTGGCCTCCTCGCATTTGACCACAATGGCTGTGCTGACAACACAAGAAGTAGCGGCGATGTAGATCAGGAGAGTTTCATCTGGCCGTGGTGCCGTCATGATCGGAGGCTTTGTTAGGAACAACTTGAGCTACTCGAAAGCTGTGTCTGCCTCCTCCGACCAGGAAAAGCACTCGGAGGCCTTGAGGAGTTTGAAGAATGGTAGCCCTTTTTTGCCGAGGCGCGATATGAAGCGGTTTAAAGCAGCCATGCAGCCTGTAAGCTTCTGTATATCCTTGATGCATGTTGGCCGTTTCATGTTGGTGATGGCGGAGACCTTGTCGGGGTTGGGCTCGATGCCACGTGCACTGATGATGTAGCCTAGGAGTATACCATATGGAACTCCAAAGATGCACTTTGAGGGGTTCAGCTTCCATTGGTACCTTTTTAGGTTGGCGAACGTTTCCTCGAGGTCAGCGATAAGATTGTTGGTGGTCTTAGACTTGACGACCACATTGTCGATGTAAGCTTCAATGTTGTGGCCGATCTGTTGATCGAGGCACATCTGGATGGCCCTTTGATAAGTCACCCCGTCGTTCTTGAGTCCAAAGGACATGGTGGTGTAGCAGTACGCACCGAAGGGCATGATGAATGACGTCTTGATCTGGTCTTCTTTATTGAGGGAGATTTGGTGATAGCCGGAGTAACAATCGAGGAAGGAGAGCAGTTCGCGGCCAGCGGTGGAATCTACAACCTTATCTATCTGAGGCAGACCGAAGGTGTCTTTAGGGCAATGTTTGTTAAGATCAATGTAATCAACACACATTCTCCATTCTTTATTCTTTTTTTGAACGAGAACAAGGTTCGCTAACCACTCGGGATGATACACTTCTTTTATGAATCTGGCAGCTAGTAGCCATTTTATTTCTACCCTAATAGCATCCTTGTTTGGCGTGAATCGGTGGAGTTTCTGCTTGATCGGTTTGGCGGTCGGCGAGACATTCGAGGAGTGCTCGATCTTCTCGCGCGGTACCCCCGGCATGTCTACAGGTTTCTAAGCAAACATGTCGGCGTTGGCACGTAGGAAGGAGATGAGCGCGCTTTCCTATTTGGGGTCGAGGTGAGCCCCAATCTTCACGGTCTTGGTGGGGTCGTCGAGGCCGAGGCCGACCTCCTTGGTTCCCTTGGACTTAGCGGAGGCGCGAGGAGGCTCCAGCGACGGGATCTCTAGATCGTCGGTGGGCACCGTCTTGGCGTTAGTGACCACACTGGCCATCTAGATGGAGAGGACGGTGGCTTCGACGAGCGCGAGACTCTCTGTCTCGCAGGCGTAGGCGATGGAGAGGTTGGCCCACAAGGCCAGGACTCCTATAGGCAAAGGCATCTTCAACACCAGATAAGCATAGTGCGGTACAACCATGAACTTTGCCAGAGCTGACCGACCAAGTATGGCATGGTAGGTGGTGTTAAAATCGGCGATGTAGAAGTTGATGTGCTCGACATGGTAGTTGCTTGTCGTGCCAAACTGTACTAGTAGGGTGATCTCTCCAAGCAGTTTGGATGCCCTGCCAGGTACCACACCCTAGAAGGAGGAGTCTGAGGGTGTGAGATCTATTATCCCGAGGCCCAACTCCTTTAGGGCTCCGGCGAAGAGGAGATTCAGAGCGCTCCCACCATCAATGAGCACTTTTCTAAAAAGCACTTTCTGGATGGTTGCGTTGAGGACAAGGGGGAAACGCCTAGTGTAGGAGAGTCTGCCCATTGTCGGCCCTGCTGAAGGTGATGGGGACCTCGGACCATGGGCGATAGCTGGGGTTGGCGGCGGCGTCTTCTGTAGTGACGGCGAGCACTCGCCGGGTGGCGAGCTTCCGTTCTCTTCTACTCTCGGTGGAGGCAAGGCCCCTAAAGATGGTGGCGACCACCATGTCGTGGTCCTGGAAAACATTGTTATTGCCCCGTTGGTGTCGTCGTCTAGCTTTTTGTCCTGGAACACCTTAGCCAAGCTGAGGCAGTTCTTCATCTTATGTCTGACATTCTTGTGTAGAGGGCACAGGCCATCGAGGATCTTCTTGTATTGCTCATCGTAATTGCGCTTGGCGCGAGGTTCATTGACGGCAGCGACAATGTGGTCTGGCCGATGGCGGCGATTTTGACCAGACTTGGGTCCTTCTGGCCGATCACGGCCGCTGTCACGATGGTAACTGCGATCGTCGTAGCGGCGGTCGTTGTGGCATCGATCATCGGGGCGGTCGTTGTAGTGGCGTGTTGGGGGATGAGTGCCCGCATCCTCGTTGAAGCGCACCTCGGCTTCCTTGGCATTGGCATACTGGTTGGCAGTCGTGATCATCTCGCCAATCCCTGTAGGCGGCTTGCGGTTGAACTTGGAGCGAAGCTCGCGGTAATGGAGTCCTCTGATGAAGGCGGTGATGACCTCCGCTTCCGTGATGTTCGGAATAGAATTTCTCATCTCGAAAAAGCGTCTGATGTAGCTATGGAGGAGCTCAGATGGCTTTTGGTTAATGCGGTTGAGATCATGTTTGGTGCCCGACCGAGTACACGTAGCCATATAATTGTCGGTGAAGACTTTTTTTAGCTCTTCCCAGGATCCGATGGAGTCCAAGGCAAGGCTTGTGAACCAATTCATGGCGGTTGGCGTGAGCATGATGGGAAGATAGTTTGCCATGACACTGCTGTCTCCTCCGGTGGCACGGACAGTAGTGGCGTAAGCTTGTAGCCACTGCGTTGGGTTCATCCTTCCTTCGTAGGGCTTGACCCCTATGATTTTAAAACCACGGGGCCACTGAAGTGTTTGGAGTCATACAGGCACTATGTTCGGAATCATTTTTCTGTTGATGTTGTCCCGATAGAGTCGTAGAGGCACACTCACAGGAAAATTTTTATTTTTCTGTCGGTCTCGATTAACGCACAAAATAAGGGTGGTCTAACAATGCATCCAGCATTCAAATTTCATATATCAAACTACTTAATATCAAAACATATAATCGAACTATGTTAAAGATTGATCACAGTTTCTCAACAACAAATGTGTTTAACCACACCGTTGAAGGTGATTCTGCTATAACAGAGCAGCTCAATACAGCCAGGGAAAAGAAAGAAAGCCCATCAGCACACACTATTGTATGAGTCATGTAAGTACAGCTCTAGTTCTTCTGGCCAGGTGGACAGGTTCAATCTCCTACCATTACCCATGAATCTGAAAGTCACAAGGCTTCAAATTAGATAGAAGATAGAAGCAAGCTCATCATTCCAAAAACTAATAATTTATTTACTAATACAAAGAATAAATCCATGACACCCAACTAGTTCAGGTGATTGCTACATTTCACACCCATTGAATAAGAAGCCACATCCACATCATTTGCCAAATTACATATATTCAACTGAATTATGCACCTAAGCCAGCACAGGCTTGTATGACATCAATACATCATTTGAGGGAGCTTTGCCACGTTGCCAACCATTATAGAGAGACAAAAAACTGAGCAAATAGATAGAATTCACTGAGTGGATGTGGTAAGCAAGTGAATGAATCAAGTAACAGAAGAGTAAACAGCATGGAGTCTAGCAGCATTGAGATAAGGTGCATTCCAATTGATCTTGTACCTTTGTTCTAATTCATTTTGGTACAATCATTCCAATCCATTTTATTAATTGACAGAAGAATGTACAACACCACACAAGAAGTTAAATCATCAAAAGTTATGATTTTCAGTTACAGCTGATTGAGTTTCACTCAGAAAGCTATCAAAAGCATCATGCTAGATATAAGTGTCAAAACCAACATAAGACAATCCATGACACCCAACTAGTTCAGGTGATTGCTACATTTCAGTTTCTAGAGGGAACTGAGCATGAAAATTTGCACAAAAATAGAGAGAACTTATAGTAACTGTACGGACAACCCCTCCACTAGCAACCTCCAATTGCAAATGGCTGCTTCAAGATCGTTCCACCAAGAGGGACTGGGAAAATTTGGCCTCCCTCATACTTATCCCATCCTCCAACAATCATGCCAACTTGCAACATGTTCTGGATATTAATAACAAACATTCATTTTGTAGTTCAACAAGAGTTTAACATCAAATTCCGACACCAGGTGCTTATCAATGAGGAAAGTAAAAGAATGTTTTAGCAGTCTGTGCTGGAATGCTATGGAACATACCTTGTTCTGATAAGCTAGCAACCTAATCAAGTTGGCTGGAACTTTAACAGTAGCTGGTTGTCCAAGCTGGATTCTGCACAGAAGGGTAACTTTAGCATCAGCTACCTTGCATGTCAAATATCTCAAGTAATTGTATACCATCATATTTATCAAAGTTAAGTATCATTCAATATATTCATTTATCAAATGAGTGATTAATGTTAGGTTGTGTATGAAGAACAAACTTACATGTGTTGGTGGAGGAAATAACGTACATAGTCCGAAATGACTTGTGTATCAGATTCTTGGGATGGCCGGAATGTTGTGCCTGCTGAGAACTCACAAGGTACTGCTCAATGGAAAGAGACATCTGATTCTGGTAACAAGGACTGAAAACAATTGATGCTTGCTTACCTGTACTTGACCTCATTGACACATGGAGGTCTATTCCATATGGCATTCAGCAAGTGAGGGAACTTATTGGCATCTCATGTGCCTTCAATCAAGTTGTGCAGGTTTGTCAATCAAGTATGTTTTAATATTAATGGTTAAGTCGGCAGTTTTGACTGCAGCAACACCACAGGGACATTTATTCCCCACCCAAGGACTTCTGGGGATTGGTAGATCTTGCCTTGTTTAGGATCAGTGTCTATTCTAGTTTGATTGGGTTAATTAGATATTCTGAGGTGTTGTATAATACTTAAGTTGGAGAGCAAAATATTCAGAAAGGCAGCTCATGGGAAAATGGCACAACAATGAACTCAAGTTGGGAACAAAATGCTAGTACTACGAATGATTCTGGTGACTGGGAAGACCAAATGCCAAGACTAATGCAGGATCCAGTTGGGGTGAGAAAGATAAGATGGAGTCTGATGAGCATCTGAAAGTCCCAAAAGAATCAGACACATGGAGTAATCTGCCGTAGAAGACTCCTGGGGTAATCTGGCTGCAACACCAGTGGGCAATTTAGATGCTACCAACTCAAGATAGTGTCTGATAGCAACTACCAACTCAAGATAGAGCTATTCACTTAAATCATTTGGGTCATCTCATATTGGCAAATTCCCTGAATGCCTAGTATGTCTGGCTAGGTTCACCAATACCATCTTTGTTGACTACAATCACATAGTGTGCTCTATCGGTTACCTATAGATTGTTGACTACAAAAATAATTTAATATTGCACCTAGTAGGCACTTAAAATAGAGAAGACAAAACAGCATGAACATCAACTAAGAGCAAAAATGAAGTGCACAGAGTAATCTTACATGTCACTTTCATCTTCCTTAAGCATAACAGGGTATGTCTGTTTTTTATCAACAATGACATACAAAAAAAATAAGGACTAACATCAAGGCAGGTGCTCTGATAAAAAAAATGTATTAGTCAAATATTGAAAATAGGATAGTACAGATTTTTCAACATGTATTGCTCTGGTAAAAAAATCAGTACTAGTTATATTAACAAAATTCAATCCACATCCTACATCATACACATGGGATTAGATCAGATCTGTTCTGAATACACATAACCAAATAGCTTAAATTAGGGTTCTTTCTCAAATTTGCACAAAAGGGAAGAGAAGGAACATGCATACCTGGCTTGTGTTGTGGGTGCTTGTCATTGGCAAAGGGCTCACCTCGGCCACTGGAAGGAGGCTACACTCGGAGCTGCAACTGCCCTGATGTGGTTGCGTTGGAGCTGCGGATCTGGACGTCGGGCTGAGAACGGGCTCTAGATCCACCATGCTCAGGAGGGCCCGCACGCTGTGAGGGCTGTGCTCGGGAGGGGCGGCGCACCGTGAGGGACACGTCCAAGAGGGCCATCTCCGGGAGGGGCGGTGCGCTAGGGGGAGGCGCCCAGAGAGCCACGCCTGGGAGGGGCCACGCGCTGAGAGGGCCACGCTTGGGAGAGGGACGGCGCGCCAGGAGGGCTGCACCCGCGCGTCGGCCGCACGACGAGAGGGCTGCATCCGAGGGTCGGGAGGGGAAGCAGCGGAGCTGGGGCGATGAGAAGAGAGCTGGCGGCGGATGGGTGGAGGAGGGTTGCAGTGGTGAATGCGGACTAGAGGATAAGAGGCTTCAGTGGGGTTGTGGCAATTTAAGTTTCGGATTATTTTTCTGGGAGTACGTAATTTTAATCTGTGGGTAATATAGAAACCTACAGAAAAATTACAATTTTTCTGTGTGTGTGCATTGTTTTTCTATGCGTTTTAAAAATGCTCACAGAATAATTGCATTTTTTCTGTGTGTACTCTCACGCACAGAAAAATGATATAATTACCCTGTGGGTTTTTGTATTTTTCTGTCGGTATATTTTGGAACCGGCAGAAAAATTACAATTTTTCTGTGTGTGCCGAAAAAAGCGCACAGAAAAATTTATCACCCATAGAAATATTCGAGTTTCCAGTAGTGTAGGAACACAGGGATAAGGAGAAGGAGATGGCGAATGCACCTAGGGGGTTCTCGACGGTAGAGGAGGCACGGAGACGACGCGCGGCTTGGCTGGGCGATGGCGGACGACGACATGAGCTCGCTAGGGCAAGGACGGCGGCCGTGACTCGATAGCAGCGGCTTGCGTTCGAGTTGAGGGAGGGCGGCGCGGTGCGAGCTCGCCTTATATGGGGTGGCCTGGCGTAGCGCGCACGGCAAGGAAGGAGTCGAGAGCGGCGCGGACACGGAGTCGGCGGAGTCTGGCATGGTTGGAGGTAAGGGACGACTGACAGCTAGGGCCCACCAGTCGGTGCCCAGGAGAGAGAGACGGGAATGGCCCGGTGCTGGGCCACGACTTGGGCTGCTCGGGAACAGGCTACTAGGGACGGGAGCGGAGATGCGGCACTGCTGGACCGGAAGAGGAGATGGGCCGCCGGGAGCGGGAGCGGGCCTGCGGGGGAAAAGCTGAGGAACAGCACATGGGCCAGCTTGCCAGCGGGGAAGCGAGGCCGAACGGGTGGAGCAGGCCTGCGCGGGAGAAGAAAAAGAAAAGATGGGCCAATGGCCTGCTGGGCTAAAAATAGAGAGAGAATGAGAGAGGAGTAAAGAAATTCTTTTGGTCATTTTCTTTTTTTCAATCCAAATGCAAATATGATCCACATCAAATTCAAATAGAGTTTTGAATATACTTTTCAACTTAATAAGAAATTTTGGTAAGTTCTCAAAAATAAATTTTACAACCTTTTTAAATTCTTTTATTTCCAAATTTTCTTTTCCAAAAGAAATTTAAACTATTTTAAATTTTCAATCAAAACCACTCAACCAAATAAATCAAATGCAAGGGCATGTATGCTCAAACATGTTGCTACCTTATGATGAATTTTAATTTAACAAAAAGTTTTATTTCCTACATTGTTATGAGCACAAAATTCATAAATAAACCATTTTAAACCTATTTTCAAAAGAGTCAAATTTTAGGGTGTTACAAGGTGCCGCCATTTATTGGACAATATTACTTGCAAGAAACGAAATGGTGTTTGATAATAGCCGCCGAAAACTTTTTTGCAGGTTTTGTTCAGGGGGAATGCACTGGTTACAGGGCACTATCACAAAGGCAAGAAGAAAACAAGGAGTGAATCTTACAATTTTGTCACTGTGCTAGAAATCTCCTCTCCGGTTTCCGTAAATACGAAAACGAGATCCTGCAAATATAGAAACGGACGGGACAAAAGTAGAAAATGGGAGGGTCAGGACGGGATTTTTTTCCGTTCATTTTCATCCCTAGATGAAGTCAGATGTTTATTCCTTTATTATTTAAAAATAGTATGTGCTTTCCTTCACGCTCACCTGAGAATATGCCTTTCTTCATTGAGTCTCAGCTGATTTATGCTTCTCACCTTTGCTTGCCCGAGAGACTCAAGCATATTATTATAGATGCACGGTGCTTATACATTATTTTGCCTATAAATGCACCCTCCATTTCGGGTGTGGTAGATCTATTTGGGTGACAGCTTTGTAGATCCTCTGTATTCCACCCCCATCTGTAGAACTAGCAGGACCTGTGTCATGACAGAGAAGTATATTATTATATACTCCTGCTTAGAGATGTCCCTTATGCATAGATGGAGAGTTAATTATTGCTATATAATGTATATGTTTTAACTTGTGATTAGAAGTAACTTAGAAATCTTACTCTCTTGAATATTACTTAATTTAGCTATACTACATTCATGAGTATCTATCTCTTTGTCTGAATTGTTATGCACTTATCATATAAATATTCTTTAACTTACCCCTGCAAATATGGAAACGGCGGGACAAAAGTGGAAAATGGGAGGGTCGGGACAGGATTTTTTTTGTTCGTTTTCATCCCTAGATGAAGTAAGATGTTTATTCCTTTATTTAAAAAAAAAGTACGTGCTTTCCTTCACGCTCACCTGAGAATATACCTTTCTTCATTGAGTCTCAACTGGTTTATGCTTCTCACCTTTGCTTGCCCGAGAGACTCAAGCATCCTGATCTACTGATTCTTTTGGTTTTTCCAGATGTTGTTCTAGTGCTTCGGGTTGCATATATATAAGGCTGATGCAAGGGACAAACTCCTTCACTGCTTAACTTAGTCGATCTAATTGTTACTTCTTGCTTCCTCCTCACTACCCGATAATACCGCATCAAATTAATTCCAGGTCCTCAAAACAAGAAACTCCACCAGAGCTGTGCTTCAGATAAGATCCAAAGACCCTTGGTTCCCTCCGTTGATTTTCAGTCTTCTTGAGCCAATCAAGGTGGGCGGATCATCTCCTCCTGTCGCTGTTACCTGCCATATTCGGAAAGCAGGTACATATTATTGCTAAATTCATGTGTAATTGGGCATGCGCTACATCGATAAATATATAATATGCCTTTGTAGCGTATGCTTTTATATTTATATTATTCATAGGAAGTGCGGGTTGGTGTCACCACCGCAGGATTTCTACTGTATCCTAATTCAGGTGCAGACCGCCAGGCAAGGGGCAGTAAAACGGTGGGACTCAAGTAAATAAATATTATTAAATCCATTCACATAGCCATCTTTTTCTAAAAAAAATTCACAAAGCCATGGCCTAGCGTTCACACGAGTCACAGACGACGCTGGTGCATTCTGTTCCTTTGGCCCCTCCGATCCACTAGCGGTACATTAGTTACCAAGGAGATGCCAAAGTCAAAATTTGTCCTAGCTTAGACTTTACGCATGCTTTTACTAAAGCGCTTGATTCCTTGCGTGCAGCAACGGAGGCAGTTCTTTTTTTTTTTTGACGCTTCCCATCTGGATACAGCCGTAGCACGTGTTCGTATACATACACACACCAACACCACACACACCTCACTCATACTACCCGTACATAACCAGACCTACAACTATATACACAGATTACAACCAGCTCTTCACGTGGAATTGGCCCACATAAATTGTTGTCATTAGTAATATATACAACTTTTAAATGTTTTCAACTTTTAAAAGTTGAATAGGGGCCATTTGACCGTTAAATTATATATCATTAGACATATTAATTAAAATTAATATCATTAGTAATACTAAAATTAATATAATTAGACATGCTAAATTAATATTTATACATTATTGGTCATATTAAAATCAATGTCATTCGTCATTAAATAGTGTAAACTTTTAAGTTGAATGCCGGTTATTTTTAGATAGTTTCAAAATTATTAAAAATGATATACATTTATAGTGCATGAATAGTGGGCCTGCCACCTGGATCCACACTCAAGAGATTAAAGTCAAGTTAGAGACCAGAGCATAGTATCAAGAAGTAATTTATTCTTCACAATGAAGACTGTTTTTTATATATATCCATATCCACATTTATAACAAATATGGATCCGAATTAGATACTAAAAACAAATCAAAATTAATTTAGATATGTCCATTTTATTATCTATTTTACAAACTAATGCGGATACATGTACTGGATACTTTGGATTACTGCTACCCATTTTCCACCACTACTCCAGTCGTCTCCCATTTCTTCCACAATGAAAGTATAGTTATTATATACCTGCCGGTTGCATTACAATCTTTTAAATGTATTAAAAAGCAATAAAATTATTATTATACTTTTAATGTTGAAATTTCCAGCCCATTCTCATACAACAAAAGTACTTTTTGATGGACAATAGTGGTTAAACTTTTAATGATGACTAAATTTTTAAAACTTCGGTTGCATACATTCTAGTATGACAAAATCTATTTTGGACTAAAGATAGTACTACATTGTCTCTATAGCGGTTCCATTTTGTAGAACTCTTAGAATCCTGTTCTTCCCTGTTCCCTAATCTTTAATTTGTTGCAGAAATTGCTGTGGTTTTTTAGCTATTCAGACCTAACAAACAATTCAGACTTTCTGAAACCAAAAAAATTATTTACTTGATTTTTTTTTGTAAAATATACCTTTTTCATTTGTAAGTTGAAACTGGCAGCCAATACAGCAGCACTACTCGTTGTTTATATTATGTAATCAATTAGTTACTTTTCTTACTATTACTAATTGGACTTCCTTTTTGAACTCCACATTAATCCTCATGAGATACTATACGCTAAGAATTTCTCAAAAAATTAAAAAAAAAACACCCAGCCATCAGTTCGACTGTAATAAATAATGATAATACTAGCTATTGCATCTATTCTATTTTTTAAAAAAAAATTATCCACCGTTGTCATTATGAACATAGTCTAAAGTAACCTCCTAAATTTTTTTCTAAATTACTCACTACTGCCATTATTAGAATTAACCTAAAGTAATCCATTAATCTTCACTTAAATTACCCCTAAATTTGCATCTAAATTATGCACCTTCACAGGTTTTTAAAATAACCCAAATAAACTAACCTCTAAAATCTGATCTAAATGGACTATGTCTGTAAAGGCAAAAAAAAAATATCAGAAAGTACTTTGTATATGCTTCTAACACTACTAGAGAACAGACTTTAGAACGATGTCTCAATTTAGCATTAGCCTCGGCATTTTTTGCTCCCGAGACTAAAGGATCATTAGTCCCGGTTAATAATACCAACCGGGACTAAATGTTCCTTTATTCCCGGTTGGAGCCACCAACCGGGACTAAAAAGTCCTCCAACCTTTAGTCCCGGTTGGTAATACCAACCCAGACTAAAGGTAGACCCTTTAGTCCCGGTTGGTAACACCAACCGGGACTAAAGGTCCTCCGATGGGTTAGTTCAAAAGGAAAGCATCACATCCATTGTAAGATGTGTTGTGTAGGTGGGGTGGTAAGCTCCGCACGAGGCAGTGCATGAGGTCTTAGGTTCGAATCTCAGGGGGCGCAGCGGTGGGAGGCATTATTTTTTTTTAAAGCCGGGAGGATCTTTAGTCCCGGTTGTGGCAAACCAGGACTAAAGAACAACACTTTAGTCTCGGATTTTAGTCTCGGATCGCTAGTCCCGGTTGGGAAACCGGGACTAAAACCAGTTCCCAACCGGGACAAGATATCAAATCTGTAGTAGTGTAAATTTCTCACTTCTTCCATTGTTAATACAGAAAAAAAACTAATTTAAGATATACATACATGATGTGCGTTACCATTTAGACCATGTATACATATATGCAAGAAGCGATGAGCATATAAATTTCCATGCCAAATACATATCTGAATCTAATAATTTAACTAAACACATGTCAAACACAAATAGAGGCATGATGAAAAGGCAAAAAATATGAATAAGGATGAAAAGGTATATAAATTAATTAGTAGCTAAAGTTTATCTCATCTGGATAAATCTAAGAAAGTACCTATATGATTGTTGTGTTAGAATATGAACACTTGAGTGGGAATTTAACTAAATACATGTCAAACACGCATGGACATGCAATGCTAAGGGAACAACTACGAATTGGAATGAAAAAGTGTATATAGCAACTGGTAAACTAAACTCCATCACATCCATATAAAAATAAGAAAGTATTTTCATAAGTATTGTTTTAGATTATGAGCAGATAAGAGAGAGCAAAGATAAGTAATGTTAGCTATGAGCCCAAAACTTGTGCACAAATTTCTAACACCTATATCTCTTAGTGCCCATGCAACGGCATGGGTCGATGGACTAGTGGACAATAGTGTGAGGTATTTGGTCCTTGCCACAGTCTCCGAGACACCAATTTTGCCACAAAATTCTGTTGAGCTACATTTCCAAATGGATTGAAATTTAACATTATGAATGTATTTTCAATTTAAGTCTACACACATCACCTTTGTCCATCCAATATAAATGTTGACGGGACATTTGGAGTAGCATTTTTTCCACGTGGCTGGAGTCTGTTAGTAAATTTGTCTCATTCTTTCTTTTATGCTAGCATATAAACTCCCTTGTTCTTTATATATATATATTTATTTAATATGTTGTCATCGGATCCTCCATTATATATAGTAATTGCTCAAAAAAATATATATATATATATATATATATATATGCTATGTTTAAAATATTTGGTTGCACACATCACTTGTTTACTTTGCAGAAGATAGTGGTAGTCATATTCAGATGCTTCTTTAATTCTAAAATGCGAATGCAGGTCACGATGACCCCAGAGAAAGTCAGAGTAAGCGTTGGCATGAACCCCCCTATACTTCTGGTAGACAACTCACACACAGTTACATTAAATGGGGCAGCAGTGGTGCGCGTTGAAGCACCCTCATCTATGAAGAACCATGCCCCCATTGACCTAGTCACACTTATCAATATTAACCAAAGCATGAGCTGGCCAGCGGCATCACAAACAGAGATGCCATCAAGGTTGGATCTGCTGAAAAATGCCATGAAGTTCATAATAAGGCAGCTTGGTGATGACGACCGCCTTGCCATTGTAGCATTCAACGACAAGGTCATCAAAGAGAATACCACTGGCATTTTAGAAATATCTGGCAGTGGTCGGACGGCTATCGAAAAAAAGGTGGATGGGCTTGTGGCTATGGGTGACACTGCTTTTAAACCGAGCTTAGAGCATGCTGTGAAGGTATGTATTGAACTTAGCTACTCCATTTGATTCCCAATATGAATTTATTTAGGCTTGCGCATAAGAATTAAATACTAGTTCATAAACTACCACTCCTCAAACATTGGTGGAGCTTACGGTAAATAAAAAAAGACAATACAATAATTGATGGAATACAATTGTACCATCCTGCATTCCAAAATCATTTAGGAACTAACCCACCAAGACGGTCCACATACGCATTGCAACACATAGCACCATGTCTGTACTTTAATGTGAAAGTGTTAACTAGCAAGACGCCCTTGCAAATTGCTGGGCAAACTATCCCTTTTTCATTTAACTTACTTTCTGTTTCTAAAAAAAAAAAATCGTATTTAGTTAAATCCATGTCCATGTTTTTCTATTTGATCTCCTTTAATTCAAAATAATCAATACATTTTAATAGATTATTGCAGTTAATAAGATTATCTATGCTAGCGAAGTGTTAATGGTGATAAGTGAGGTGCAAAGTATAAATTCTACTCTAGATAGATTATTGCAGTTATTAAGATTATCTATGCTTGCTAAGTGTTAATGGTGATCAAAGAGGTGCAAAAGTATAAATTGTACTCTAGACACCAACGTTGCCTAGGATCATCTCTAATCGTTGTAAGAATAAATAAAATGGTGATATATGAAGTGGCTAAGTAGGATCGATCCTAACTATAAATACAGTAATTCCATAAATAAATAATGACATATGAAGTGGTTAAGTAGTTTTTACTTTATTGGTACTGCAATTATACAGTAAGATGATGGTATATGAAGTGGTCAACTAGTGCCAACTGTAATGTAATAATTAAAAATATGAAGGCATGCCATCCAGACGGCCTCAGAGAGTGTCCACGTAGCCTCTATTGCCTGCTCCATCTGATTTATTATTTGTAGCGGTCCAGACGAGAGCTTCTCTAGCTTAGCGCCATGCATGCCATCCACCCCAAGTTTTCTGTCTGATTACTATGAGAACTACTCGAGCTTAGCGCCATGCATGTTCACTGCAAGACTTCTGGCAAGCATGCTCTATCACTTCAAGGGGCCAGCCATTTATTCTACGCAAGGCATTTATTCTACTAACCAAGAAAGCATAGACACTATTTACCTCTATTGGGTGCATACAAACTTAAAACAGGCACACACGCATGCATGCCATTACAGCATTAGCTGTACATACACGTCTTCGTAGAGTAATATCTCTCGTGTCTTTCAAGTAGTAGTTTTGATGGTTGCATCAACACACATGATAATAAGTAATATGTTAAACCATGTGTGCCCAGTTAAGTTAGCTCTAGCTCTCACTATTTGTTGGGATAGTTACGGTAATATGTATGGGTGGCTGGTCCGTTAGAATAGTTACTCTACCTTTTTTAGTGCATAGTGTAGTTACTCTACTTCTTTTAGCGTAGTCACTCTACCTTTTTCAAAGGTAATTACTGTACCTTAGTCTAACCAGTGCATTAGGAATTAGGATTACTTGATTCAATGCCAACGAAATCTCTTTAGCAGATTAATCTTACTTGCTCCATGTATAAGGCATGTTATTGATTTCATGCTTTGCGTTAATACAGGGTGTTTGGGCTGATATACGTCTGGTTAACTTAATTAACCAAACCTCATTTGTATGGCCGCAGTGATTAAAGGCTTAGTTGAAGCAAGTGAGAGTGTGCATATGCATGCATGCATACTTGAGTGGACACCAGATGCTCATGTTGCAACGAAGCAGTCGGATGTGCATGTGCATATATGTGCATGTGCATGCATGCCTGCCTGCTGAAAGCAGATGCTCATTATTGCAGCGAAGTGAGTAGTTGAGACTGCTCGCATTAATAGCTTCTTGCACCCAGCAATTGCAATAGACTGAAGGGTCCGTTGCACTCAGATATAGATAATTGTTTACCCATCTTACAATGATGGTAAGAGGGACAAATTTGTTCATATCAAAAAGAAATTTGAACAAAATATGTCTTAAGTAGGTCACCTGCAGCGAAGCGCGGGCACAAGTGGCTAGTCGTAATAATAACATGATCAGATGATGGTATAGTGCCATAGAGGTCAGATAAAAGATCAACTCTAAAGGCAGTAATTACATGATGCAATGATCGTATAAGCAAAGATTAATTTAGTCTACCATGAAGCAGCAAAAACGAGTGTTTATTCCATGAATTTGTAGTGAGGTATTAAAAAATTCTTAAAATATTTATACTTAGTCAATGAAAAAGATTTTTATACTTATAAAATATTTATATCTAGATTAGTTTCGTCTAGGTTTGTCCTCAGCCAAACCTTTTTAGCTTTTACCATGACCATCCACATCTAAAATTTTACATAGATTGACAATACAAGGTTGACATTACTAAATTCATTGTGAAAACAACTTTTATAATATATAAGTTATATAACTCCTTTCATTCACTACCGGAAACACCTAAGTTGCCGAGTGTCCCCACATTTGCCGTGGGCAAGATTTCGGGCACTCAGCAAACATGGTGTTTGCCGAGTGTCCCAAAGACGACACTCGGCAAAGACACAACTCACGGCATAACAGTTTACGCTCGGCAAAGAGACTCTAGTGTTTTTTTACACTCGGCAAAGAAAATTTCAAAGCACATTTTGAAGCAGTAAATTAATTCAAATAAAAAAGTTTTCAACTACAAAGTTGTATAACTCATCAAGATGTACAATGTTTGTTTTGGTTTTTTCTTCATACGACAAAGTGAAAATAAATTGATTCACAAATCTAACATATCTCTCTTGTAGTTTATGAAACTACAAGAGAGATGTATAAGATTTATGAACAATGTTAGAACGACCATGTCGGATGAACAGATGACCAAACAACTAAAATAAACTTTGTAGATCTCGAAAAGTTATGAAACTTTGTAATTGGCAACTTTTTGATTTGAAAACATCTTGTCATGCAAAACTGCGTTTGAATTTCAAAATTTTAAAATTCGAACTTTTCAAACGGCCTCGGATGAAAAAACAACCAAAATAAACTCTGTAGATCTCGAAAAGTTATGAAACATTGTAGTTGACAACTTTTGGATTTGAAAACATCTTGTCATGCAAAACTGTGTTTGAATTTCAAAATTTTAAAATTCAAATTTTGTAAACGACCTCGGATGGAAAAACTTCCTAAACTAAAAGTGTAGATCTTGAAAAGTTATGAAACTTTGTAGTTAACAACTTTTTGATTTGAAAACATCTTGTCATGCAAAACTGTGTTTGAATTTCAAAATTTTAAAATTCAAATTTTGTAAACGACCTCGGATGGAAAAACTTCCTAAACTAAAAGTGTAGATCTCGAAAAGTTATGAAACTTTGTAGTTTACAACTTTTTTATTTGAATTCGTTTAGAGCCTCAAACATGCAATTTACACTCGGTTTAGTATAATATATTGTGAACTAAAACGGAATCCAGATACAAGTAAGAGTGTGGTGTAGTGGTAGAGGAGGTACGTGCACAGCGGGAGGTCTCGGGTTCGCGTCGGCCGCGTAGCCATGAAATTCACGCGAAAAATGTCGTAGATGGGTGGGCGCTGGCTGGTGGGGGCCTCCATCCATAAAAAAAATTCCATTTTTTTTTGGGTAAAAATTCCCATTTTTTCGGTTTCAACTTTACCGAGTGTTGGGCACTCGGCAAAGTTGGCTTTACCGTCACTGTTTTTGGCGAGTGCTGTTCGCCGAGTGTTACACTCGGCGAACCATTTGCCGAGTGTTTTATGTCTTTTGCCGAGTGTTTTGGGCACTCGGCAAACTCAAGGAGTCCGGTAGTGATTGAATATAATATATTTTTATGGATGCTGCCAGACAAAATTAGAGAAGTTTGAGTCAAGACAAACCTAGATGGACCTACATCTGTGATCGGATGAAGTAATGTATTCAGTCTTTACATCGAATTTCACTTATTATTTCAACTGTAGCTGAGATGGACTCCTTTTCTTTTTTTAAAACATTGATTAAATTTGGATTTCACCTTTTTATTCTTTTAACTTATATGTACCAAATATTACAGCTCCTGGACGACCGAGCAGATAAGAAGCGTGCAGGCTTCATCGTTCTTATTTCGGATGGTCTAGACGGCCAGTTCAAATGGGGCGATGAGATTATCGCCCCCACGGATCCTATCCGAGGCCTCCTCCGAAAGTACCCAGTCCACACCTTCGGTTTGGGCAAGGCTCACGACCCAAAGGCGCTGCACTATATCGCTAACATATCCTACGGAATATATTCCTCCATCACCGACAACCTGGACAACAAGTTCATCGAGGCACTCGCCCTCTGCTTAGCTGGGTTCAAGACCGTAGTAGCCGTCGACGCTTGCGTTGACATCTCGTCAAACAGTTTGATGATAACAAGGATCGACCCTGGGGGTTACATACTCCGGGGGAGTTCCGGAGGCATCCTGGTTGGCACGCTCTATGCTGGGGAGGTGAAAGACTTCATTGTCTACTTTTCTTATCGTACCGGGAGTTGGTCGGGGGGTTACTATACAACTTTGAATGGGATTAATGCTAGGGCCACGTACAAGGAAGCGCCGGGCAGGCAGTCGATCACCACTGACACTTGCTCGGTGTCGCTCCCAATTCACGTGGCCAACAGCTCATATCCTCCTGCAAACCCCTGCCCACCCTACCCCATGGTCCTGCAGCAGATGGTCCGGTTCAAGGTGCTAGATTTGCTTATGAGCGTTCTGAAAGAATTCCTGGTCCTGAAGGAGGAGGCTGCTAGTGCCGTCCACGGGAAGGAAGGAGGAGATGACCCGGTCTTGCAGGCCATCGCAGCGAGCTTGCTGCAGAGGAAGTGGAAGGAGTTCAAGCAGTCCGATGAGTCTTGGAAAGAAGCCCCGAGGAACCTCCTTAACCTGGGAGGCATCGACCAGGACATCAGCGCCATGGTGGGTATCCTGAAGCAGGGCTTGGGTGTTGGATGCATCCACTCATGGGTGTCGAGCTATCAGATGCAGCGCGCGACAACTACAGGCTTGCCAGGGGCTCACATGGTTGCAACCGGCCAATTCCGCACGCCAGCGATGGACGCAATGGTGCAGGAGGCCCATAGGCAGCTGGCCAAGGAAGCATCTGCCCAAGATGCGGGGACGTCAATTGTCTGCAAGCGCGCCGTCGAGCTTCTGGATGGGGTCAACAAGCGATTCGATCTCTGGTGCAAGCTGGACCACGACTTGCCGCGAACGAACCAACCGTCATCACACCAGGAAGAAGGCCATGAGTCCCCCGACCTCACCGCCGTCCTACGGGGGGACATCAACCGAGCGAGGCAGCATGACATATACCTGGTACGTATGTACATGGTTTGCTGTATGGCGATACTACGCACCAACATCTATGGATCTGATTTCAATTTTTCTTAGATAATGGAACAAAGTTTATGGATCTGATTTCATGCACTAAGTTCCCATGCATTCCGGGTTTGTCTTGGATGCAGGCTGCCGATCACGCGATCAAGCAATGGCGCAGCTTCCTCACATCCGTGGAGAAGACGCATGGCCATGGGCCGGACAAGTAGGCGCATGATGAGGCCACTGGCGGCCACCACAAGCCCCAGAACCCAGCGTGAGTGGTGTTGTGTCGATGCAGACTCAGACATACACCATATAAATAAATAAATTTAATGAGCGAGAGGCCCTGATGACACCAGTGCCTCCGACTCCCTCCGATCCTGAGAATAATATTTGTGCGTACTGTCCTCCTCATGGCATTTGATTTCCCGTGTGTTCACTACTGTTGTTCTCTAATTACTAGTCCTGATCAGTTCCGGACTAAGCTGTAATGTATCTTTTATTTTCTTTTTTTATTAATAAAAGACCATATGTATGCGTCAGTCAACTCTGTTGTACGGTGCCATGTGTCTTACTGTACGGATGTGTTTTGGACTATAAATGCACACACTCCACGTTGAGGAAGCAAGAACAAGTGCCCAACATCAAGGAACCACCCACCGTGAAGGACCGGAATGCATGGTGACCACCCAACTTATAGGGCAGCCTATATCCCGAAATTGATGGCAAGTCCATCTTCTAGCTATCATCAAGATCACATTGTCATAAAGGACCTATTGACCCTATAAACAAGAGGTTAGGAAAGCATGGAACACTACAAAGAAGCTAAAGAAAACAGGGTCCCGCTATGCTCGCCGTTCCACCAGAAGCTCTGGTGAAGGCAGCGACTCAGCAGGAGCAAAACCTAAACAATAATGGGCTAGCAGATGCAACGGAGCACAACTGGATGATATCACTAGAAGTATTTTTCCCAGATCACCCAAAACACAGATCAGGAGCAACTCTGCTTGCTTACCGGATGCTCTCTTATTCTCATCGGATGCCTCGCCAGGCAAACCCTCCGTGGTATTGAGTTGGCAGCCAACGAGCAAGAGATACTCAAGTGCAAAATCGGATAAGTCTAAAGAGGTTTGAATAACTTGAATTCATTTGACCTGTATTCACTGAATGCTTCATATCGAGGACCGGACTTTCCACTGAGTTGAAATGAAATTCAAACATGCTCAAGGTAACTCAACTTCACTGGATGCACTAGTGCACACCATTTGTCATGATCCACCTTCCTGGTCCCTGGATGAGTAGCTGATAGAGGTAGAATTATGGTGTTTTATCAATATTACATACAAATTTATATAGAAGAGAATTTACCTGGTGTCATACACACTTTTTTCATAGAGGCGACCAAAGACTGTTAACATAGCATCCACTACTGGAGGCGGGCTCTTTGCCGAGTGCCTATTGCACTCGGCAAAGGCAGCTTTGCACTCGGCAAAGCCTTTGCCGAGTGCAACACTCGGCAAAGAGCCTCCGTCGAATCCCCTTCCGGTAAAGGCTGCTTTGCCGAGTGCCAAATTTTGGGCACTCGGTAAAGATTTGACGGCGTCGGCCGACGGCCGACGCCGTCTAATTTTTTTTAAAAAAAACTCTTTGCCGAGTGCCACAGCTCCGCCACTCGGCAAAGACATATGTTTTTTTAAACCTCTTTGCCGAGTGCCACAGCACCGGCACTCGGCAAAGGGTGTTTTTTTATTTTTTTTTAATTTTTCTTTGCCGAGTGCAATGACCATTGCACTCGGCAAATTTAAAAAAAAAATAAAAAACACGCTTTCCGAGTGCAATGGTCATTGCACTCGGCAAAGCCACCTCTAAATTTCTTTTTTTTTGTTTTTTGCTTTTCCATTTAAACAACAATGCATATATATATATATAATAGAAACCACAATTCAACAGCAATAAATTACAAACCACATTTATATATTACAAACGACCAAATTTATCCGAAATCCACAATTTATTACAAACCACAAGTTCATAGTCCACAAGTTCACAAGTTCGATACATAGAAACTACTCCGCAAGCGGCTCACGGCGACTGCGCCCCAGCGTGCGATCCCGGCGACGGTCCGGGTGCGGATGGCCCGACTTGCGATGCCGGCGACCCTCCGACCTGGTTCGACGCCGCCCCCAATGTCCGCTGCACAAAAAAGAAGATATTGCACGTGAGTGACAAGATAAAAATGTAAGGAGTTTAAAGAAAAGTTGAAAATTTTGGCAGCACCTCCCCTGCACGGGGACGTTTCCAAAACCTGCAAGAAAAACGTCGGCACGAAGGCCGACAACCACATTTCCGGCACGAAGGCCGACATATCAACTAACCCGGCACGAAGGCCCACACATCAACAAATCCGGCACGAAGGCCATCTCTAGGTTTGACACTAAGCATGAGCACAGAAAGTAAAACATACTCACCGGAGTAGACTATGGTGGTGGTTGTGGTGCAAGTAGGTTTCACGCCGACGAAGACGATCAGGGTCGCCGAGGTGCTCCGGGTCTCCTCCGACAGGTCCTGCTCTGCAAAAAAAAAAAAAACAACACTAAAAGTTGAAAATTTCGGCAGAACCTCCCCTGCACGGGGAGGTTTCCAAAACCTGCAAGAAAAACAATCGGCACGATGGCCGAAGTCAACATTTGGGGCACGATGGCCAACACAACCACAAACCCGGCACAAAGGCCGTCAACGACATAAACGGCGCGAATGGCCGACAACCCTGCGGCTTTACCTTCTCCTCCGGCGAGGGTGGGGATGACGGCGTGGATGAACGTTCGTCCCCTCCACCTCGGCTTCCTCCCCCTCTCCCCTTCTCCTCCTTCTTCCTCCTCCTTCTTTTTCCTTTTTCTTCTCCTTCCTCCACCTTTTTCTTCCTTCTTCTTCTTCCTTCTTCTTCTTCTCCTTCCTCCACCTTTTTCTTCCTTCTTCTTCTTCCTTCTTCTTCTCCTTCTTCCTCCTCCTTTTCCTTCCTTCTTCTTCTTCCTTCTTCCTTTTTCTTCCTCCTTCTTCTTCCTCCTTCCTCTTCCTGCTACCTTCTTCCTCCTTCCTCCAGGGGCCACTGGGCGGGCTCGCTTTGGGGGCTCTTGGCTGGGCACGCCATGGCGTGCCTTGGCGCCGAGCAGCAGGCGGTTAGAACAGAACCGGGTGGCAAGGCCGAGGTGGTGGGCGGGCGGCGCCGAGCAGGCTTGGCCGGGTGGGCGGGCGGGCGCGTGTAGGCGCCATGCGCCGGAGCGGCCGGGCGCCCGGATCCATTGGCCGGCGGCCGGCCGGGGTGGGGAGGGGCGGCACCGCGGCGGGGCGCGGCCGGGCCGGGGGTGTGCGTGCGTGTGTTGTGTGGAGTGAGTGAGTGTGTGGGCTGGCCCACACATTTAGTTAGGGTTTCCCCCTTTGCCGAGTGCTGGGCCGGGCCGGCACTCGGCAAAGGGTTTTGTTTTTTTTTAAAAAAAATCTTTGCTTAGTGCCAGTGCCAGGGCCGGCACTCGGCAATTTTTTTTTTGTTTTTTTGCACCATTATTTTTTGCAACCTTAATATATTATTTAAAACTCCATGTTCAAATTTGGCACAATTTTGACTTTTTTTGCTATATTTCGTTAGTTTTTTTGTTTCGTTGAATTTTATGGAATATTTCAAATTTGAACTGCAGGTGCATGGAAACCTTATCAATTTTTTTACCATAGACTCTACATGCGATAACAACATGGAATATTTCAAATTTGCCACATGTGGAGATGTCTGGGTTTTAGGCATCTGACGTCGCAACTTGCTCAAAACCTTCTCAATTTTTTACCATAGACTCTACATGCGATAACACGACGCCCCGACAAGTTTTGTCATTTTCGGACTTCGTTCGGATTTTATATAATTTAAATACACTTTTCCCGCTGGTACCTCGTCATGTTACGTCAACAAGATGCTCGAAATTTCATGTGAGTTCCTGGATACGGCCTCAACATACACCAAATATCATGAATATCATTTTTTGAACGACCAAATTAGATTATTCCATGCACCTGCAGTTCAAATTTAAAATATTCCATAAAATTCAACGAAACAAAAAAACTAACAAAATATAGCAAAAAAAGTCAAAATTGTCCCAAATTTGAACATGGAGTTTTAAATAATGTGGGAAGGCCTCACAAAAAAAATGGGTAAAAAAAACCAAAAAAAAATATTTTGCTGAGTGCCGGCTCTGGCACTCGGCAAAGAGGTCCTTTGTCGAGTGCCAGGAAGTGGCACTCGGCAAAGAAGGGATCTTTACCGAGTGCAGGGCCTTGGCACTCGGTAAAGGCCCTCTTTGCGAGTGCCAGGGCTGGCACTCGGCAAAGAATTTTTTAAAAAAATTTGACAGCGTGGGCGGGCTCGGCCGTCAAGTGGCATTTTTTTGCCGAGTGTTGCACTCGGCAAAGAGGGTTTTGCCGAGTGCCGCCCTTTGCCGAGTGCGGGCACTCTATGGCACTCGGCAAAGCCACTCTTTGCCGAGTGCTAGACTTTGCCGAGTGCCACCCGGTCCGGCACTCGGCAAAGAGTGGCTTCGCCGAGTGCCGGATTTTGGCACTCGGCAAAGCTGGCGACACTCGGCAAATCTGCGTTCTCCCGTAGTGATCTGGGTACGAAGCCTACATGCAACTTAAATTAGGGTTCGAATAACTTGATCTCCATCTTCACCATCAATAGTACTTAAGGTATTCAACAAGTCCTAACCCTACTTAGGGTTATTTCATGATTTGAGGAAGTAGCAGGGATTAGGTCATAAAGCATCTCACCATGCAGTGATTAACATGGTTTGCATTTTGAAATGGTTAATAAAGCAGGTTTAATTATGTTCATAACAGTTATTTGGTACTGGAGGGAGAATTACCACTTTCTAAAATCCCCCATATTACTAGCAACTAGCATAACTCCAAACCTCACACATTTTGAGTTTCCCAGAGACTAGTCATCGAGGGCTACCATCCTGGGTTCATGACCAAGAATCATGGCTATCTAGACAAAGGTATACCACTACTACAGAACACACAATCACTGTCGGCCATCACTGGCAGTTGTGCTTGAGCCAGTTGTGATAGAGTTTCACTACCGTGTCACAAGCCTAGGATCCAAACAATGATTGGAATTTTATTGACCCAGCAGTAAACCCTGCTATGCCAGCTCAAGCCACGAACAGGCAGTGAAATATCA